TAGGAGGCTCTGCTGTCCAGGGTGCTGAAGTAGAGAGAGTGTTTGCTGGAGACAGCCAGTGAAATGTATAGTGGCTAGAGATGTCCCGATCCGATCACGTGATCGGGGATCGGAGCCGATCACGTGATTTTCCAAAGATCGGAATCGGGAGAAAAAAATCGGGGATCGGGATTTTTTTTCTTTTTTTAATTTTTTTAAATACTTTTTAAAAAAAAATTTATTCAATATTACAAAACAAAAATGACCATGTTCAAGTCTTACAGTCATCCTGAGGCCTTAGTTTTGGTTTCAAATTACACAACATCATGTATGTGTTGCTTCTTTGGGGCTTGTTTTCATAGACCTGGTTGCTTATTTCTCTCAAATCTGGCAGCAGAGTGGGCAGGGCGCAGTGTCTAATTGTAGCAGTAAGCTAACGAGTACTGATAAGCTTTATTTTGTTTTGATCCAATGCTGCACAACTGAACTGATCCAATGCTGCTGTGAAAAAAAGAAGCTATATCCATGTTGGATAGACTATCCAATTTAAATAAAAAAAATAACCTTAAGGGACAACTTGAATGCTTTTTTTTGTCTTAATGCATTGCATAAAGATCGGTATCGGCAAATTGTCAAAATCAAATGATCGGAATCGGATCGGGAGCAAAAAAAGGTGATCGGGACATCCCTAATAGTGGCTGGATTAAACTGACTGTAACTGCATAGGCAATGTATAGGCCCTTAGGTATTTGGCACATGGATGTTGGTTATTTAACCCAGTCAGCTCAAACCAAAGCTCAAGCCAATACTGATACTGATATTTTTTTCTGTATGACTTATGTATGATAAAGAAGACTGTTATCCTTAGAACCTCCTGCTGACAAGATGGTCTGAAAATTATTGTGACAGAGACAACAAGAAAAAAGATGGGAAAGATGTCGGGGATAAATGACTCAAATATTCTTGAGTTGTCAATTATGGTATTGAAGACATGACTTGGAGATAATTGTTTCAGCAAATTGGAATATCGGAAATACTTAAACAAAGCCATGACTTTCTGCTCAAAAGCTCCTGAAGTCGGATGTTAACAGAGGCTGGATGCTTTTGTTCTCATTTTATTTGCACTCCATCAGAGCTGCAATCGTTACCATGTTGCCTTTTCCCTGAAGAGCAGCACTTGTTGGTGGGAAGAGATCTGTTATATTTGAAAGGTCAAAAGGGAAAGCGTTGGTAATTGAGCAGTTTTTGGATCTTTGTCTGGAGTTGTGGTAGATGACTGAGAGAGCAGCAATCTGTTCTCCAGGTTATACAAACTCCAAGCTGCCAGTGTGGTCATGAGCACTGTGTATGTGCAGAGGGGTCAGTTAGTTGGCCAAGAGTACCCATTACCAAACTTGTGTGTTTGTGTCCACGTGCAGTACTGAATATGAAAGCGATACAAAATCTGTCTGCGTCTTCTAGCGTGTGTGTATTTGTATTGCAAATCACTATGTATTTGCAGCGTTTCTATCCTTGTGTGTGTGTGCACCAGCTTACTGACAGCGAGCCTGGCAATAACTGAGTTGCGTTGGCAGCTTACCTGAGTAAGCACAGATGCCTGTCTTCGGCAGTGACCGGACACCACCTCACAAGGTGATGTCATCATTAACACAAAGTCTGCCCTCTGTGAGGGCAGCTGAGGCTGGCTGAGCAAAGCGAGTGATTCTGCAAACGTTTACTGCCACATCATGTGATGTACCTCAGCTGAGGGACTAAAGGACTTTGCCCTCTCAGTTTGTGTGTGAAAAGGCTTGTGGAAAATATTGTGGCACAGGGATAAGTGTGTCGCCTGGCTGCACGGTAACAACGAGTAGCTTAATACCGATAGTCGTTGTTTGTGCCAGTGTTTTTGTCATGCGAACAGTGCCCATGTGTTTCTGATAGACTGAAGATAATTAAATGAATTGTTTACCAAATGTTTGTAAGTAGATCTTGTAAGGCGTGCCGACCACAGATGTCACAAAACAATGCACAGAACCACCATCAGTGCTTCGTCATGAATGATAAAGCATCTGTTAACATTCATTTGCCATCATTTTCTGAATTGATCCTTGAAGGAAGAGTTTTACGTTTTGGGAGATACACTTTATTACCATTTTGAGACCCATGACTTCCTGGAGTCTTGGCTTGTTGCATTGTAACTGGACCCGCCCAATGAATTGTTGTTTGTTTGTTGTAGCTCTTGTACAGAGCCAGGATAGCTGAGTTCTGAGTTCCCAGGCCTTTTCTGGGTGTTAAACAGGTGTCCTCCTGCCTGAGCTCAGGTGTTAGTTCAGGTGTTCTTGGTGCAAACAATGATCTGAATCACCATTTGTGGGAAACCGAATAGGGGGACAAGGGGCAACATAGAGGGAAAGAGAGGAATATTAAGAGAGAGAATGGAGAAAAGTTTGTTTACCAAATGATTTCCTGTTTTGTGCGAATAATCTTTTCCTTTTCTTTGCTTGTACATTATGCAAACAATGGTAAACAATTGAGGCACAACAAAAACAAGTTGTTAATTTTAGGATTCACTGTGGCTCTATTCCTTTTGCCACCTGGCCTAAGCTTAATAACACATTTGTCAAAAACAAAGCCCTGTGGCTCACTCTCCAAGGTTAAAAACATGTAAAAAAAAAATGTAACTTTGAAGGGATGATGGTGAATGAGAGAGATTAAGTTAATTTATCAAAACGAAGGGTTTTTATTTGGGTCAGTCATCAGTGAGATACTCTACAGACACATTATATCGACAGTCAGTCCCATCAGGTTTTTCCTCACACCAATCCTAAATTTTCTTAAAAAGAAGTGCATTAACCTAAATAATTTTATTTAAAAGATGATAATAATTCAAATTAGTTCAATGAATTGGAGCTTTAATAACTTTTTTTAGGTGCGTGTTCTGTAAAGTAGTTTAAGGCCAATATCTTATAAAAAAGGTGAATCATGTCCAGCAAGACAACATCTTGTTTATTTATCTAACTAATAAATGAACAAGGTCAAGGCAATCAGAGGCAAAACCGTGTAGGTGGATGATGATATTGTCTGCTACTGTATAAAGGGAATTGAACACTGCTTCTGTTTTAGTGTTCAAATTAATAGCAGACAACTGCCGATAACTGAAATCACTTTATCTGTGAGTCTGTGGACCTCTAGTGGATGTTGTAACATGAATTATTCTATACATGTTTTGATTGAATTCTCCTCTTATATTTTTTAAGTAGTAGATTGTGAGGATGATGTTTGGATTCATATTTTATATCCTACATGCATGGGCATACAACTACAATATGATATATGCCATAAATGCTGTTGGCATGATGAATCTCAAATAAGCTTCGGATGGCTGTTTGTGTGAATGTTTATAGCTCCTGATGGTCAGGTGGCACTTTGAATTGCAGCCCCTGCCACCAGTGTATGGATGTATGTATGAATTGAGGAGTGCTGAGTTGTGTTTTAAAAGTGGTTAAAAAAGGACAGGTCAAAGCTGTTAACATTGTTGAATGACTTGGCAATGTCTATGTTCAAAAGGCCTCTTCATATTTGGTTTTCACATCAATTTAGAATATAAATCTTTGAATAGTGGTTTGGATAAAGGTCAGACATTAATATGTTCGAGAAAGATTTATGTGCAGTGTTTCGCAATGTTTGTTTATTTCAATTTATTTTTTAAATTATGTTTCTGTGAGAATACTCGTAATACTGTGAAGGTTTTGTTGCTGTGCTAACCATATATTTCTAATTTTAAATCACAATGGTTTTCGTCATAAATGATACAATTGTTAGACTCTCTCTTTTAAATGTTTGTCTCAAAGGCTAATCCGCGATTACCCTGACTGATAATTTAATTAAATTTAAAAAATGGTGGAGTTCCCCGCCATGAAATTAGTTTTTTAATTTGTTGGGTGTTCTTCCACTCACAATTAAAAAAACATCTCTTTTATGTGATGTGTGTAACAGTGCGACAATCTTTGATACAATATCAAACCTACTACTTCTGGAATTTTATAAGTAAGATGTTGTCTTTTGTAGTTTTTGTTCAAACCATGACCTTTACTTTCAGATGATTGGCAAAGAAATTGTCACAATTTGCCCCTTTTCATTTATTTTCTTTGCAGTTGACCTGGCTATACTACCACAAGATACTCAGTCTCCTGCCATACCAGTTGTAGCTGACCATCCCACCCCCTCCATAGCCGATGGTGAGCCCATCCTGCAGAGTGGAGACCCAGATTTTGCCTCCCAAGCAGCAGTAACCATCACTCCAACGGTTAGCTTTATAAATGGTAGACATGAAATCACACTGGAGCCACACAGCCAGATAGAAGAAGAGGCCAAAGGTACCCAGATTATGACAAATGTGACAACTCTGGGAGCAAGTGATGAAATAACCACAGTGTTTGATTATACCGATCTCCCTGTTGATAGCTCCAATGAATCTATAGAGTTGCAGACGACAATGCTGACCTCTACAGAGATCCAAAATGAGTATGAAACTGATATAATCCCAATAGTCGAATCGACACCTCCTCAGATACTCCCTGGGGTAGATGAACTCACTACAAAAGGCCCAACACAGAATCACACAACCTCTGTTCCAGCCTCAACAATGGAGAACACAGAATCGAAAAGTGCACTAAAAGTTGAAGCTGGCCCAGCTGTCACATACGACACAGAGAGGATGTATAATGTCACAGCTACCTCTGCTGACTTTGTTCCTACAGTAACACCAGCTGCACCACACATCACCACAGTAACTAAAGAAACCCAAACCACGAAGGCTGATGTGAGAACCACGTCTGTCGTTACCACATCTGCACAAGAAGAGGTAGGCGAGTCAGGGAGGACTCCGCTGTATGTGAAAAGTGACTCATACGTGACTCAGACAGAGAAGCCCAAGGACGAATCCCCTGTTACTTCTCCAACTGAACTTTACAGAGTCAGAGATAAAGCAGAAACCACAGAGGAGACAAAGAGCACATCTGCCCCTCCAGCTGCTGAAGACAGCCCTCGGTCTACATTACAGACTGTGTACACTCCCTTCTCGGATGACGCTGATGAGACAACACTAACATCAACAACTAGTGACTCACAGAGCTCCACTCAAGATGTGGAAGGAGAGAAAGAGACCCAAGCCCCAAAAGAATTTGCCTTCAGCACAACAGCTCCTTTAGTATCAAGTAGTTTAACCACTCATAAACAGACAGCCAAGACTGAGATAGCACCAGCTATAGATGTACGCAGCACTGAGTCATCAGCATCTGTACCATCTACCCTGGCTGAAAATGTAGAGCGTACAGTCACGAGTCAGGGAGGAAGTACAGCCAGCCAAATGTCTTCAGTCTCATCAGCAGAGAAAGCTACAACTGATGCAATGTCTACACCAGAGGAGGAGGGTTCGGGGGTTCAAACGGTGCAGCTGACAACTGGCTCACCATCAGAAACATCTGCAGGGACAGCAATATCAGGCATTACACATAGAGATCAAGCTACAGGGGAGAGTGAAGTAACATCACAAACAGAAACAGCAGGCAGAGATATAACATCTGTTTATTCCACTGGTGAGTTAAAGAATATGTCAACACCCACCACTATGCATGAAGAGTTGAAACAGGATGAGACAACAACTCCTTCCTCACATAAATCCATTGCAACCACTGCTTCGACTTTATACAGTGCTATTGAAATGATCAAGACAACAATGGTATCTTTCACTGGATATTTCGATTACTCAACACAAAGTGCATCACCAATGACTGAATTACTTGGGGAAACAGTGACTAGTGTGACGGATGAGCACACTTCATCACCTGTGGCGACTTCTATTTCTGCAGTCATTAGCACTGTTAAACCAAATCAGTCTCTTTCAACTGCGGCTTCTACAGCCAAAATCTCAAGCGTAACTGTGGACATAAAACAGACACAAACTCTAACAGTGACCCCAACAAGTGGCATTAGGGAAACAGGTTCATCGCGTCCCAGCACTGCTCAACAGATTACAGATGACCAAACCTCTGGTATGACATCAAGTGGAGCAAGTGCAGCAGTAGAGAAATCAGTATCAGGAACCACACAATATGAATCAGCTCATACTTCAACAACGGCATCTTCTGCTTTAACCACTGAGATACCAACATCAGTATCGCAAGAAATGTCAGAAATCAAAACCACCGAAAGTAAATCAGTCACTTCAGAAATTAGCTCTATTTTCACCCCCACAGATGAGGTGACTTTAGAGGGCCAGACAATATCACCTGATGCTTCAAAGAGTGACATTACAGAGATAACTGTAACACCGTCAGAGTCAGAGGTAATATTAGGGACTACTGTTTCTCATGACACCAATGGGACCCAAAGTCCCTCTTCTGCATTAAGCACAGGTGGCGTAGTGACTGGGAAACAAACAGAAAAACTATCCAGTTCACAGGAACCCACAGTTAGTAGCATCACTGACAAAGTTACCATCCCACTACACCCTTCAAAAGCAGAGGTTGGCTCTGGAGGTCAAACAACTACATCTTCTGTGTACAGCACTGAAAAACCAACAGAAATTTATGAAGGGACACAAAAAACAGGAGCATCACTACAACCAAGCACATTTTCTCCTACTGGTACAACAGAAACAATTTCATTACCACCTTTAACACAAGAAGAAAGGTTAGGCACACAGACAACTGAAAGATCAAGTGAAGAGTTGGTCACTTTGTTTAGCACTGAGACACCATCAGCACAGGTCACAAGTCAGACAGAAAAGTTAAGAGACACTACAATGACTGACAAAATCATAGAAAGTTCTGTATTCCCTACAACAGATGCCAATGGGTCGGGTGACACAATATCAGATATGTCTACTCATACATCTTTTGTTTCAGAAACATCATCTCTATACAGCACTGGGACACCAAAGGCAGAAATGTCACCTAAAACAACAACAACTGTTGAAACCTTTGAGTCAAAAACAATGTCACCTTCAGAAGACCCATCCGTTTTTTCTGATTCTGATATGACAGTAATGAGCGCAGAAACAACGCCTCCAAGTTTGGCCTCTGTTATATCTTCTACTGTTTCAGACATTGAGAAGGAAGATATTAGCACTGAATTATCAATAGTAGAATCAATTCCCTCCTCCAGTGGAGACACCATCAAACCTGAAACAATGTCACTCTTAACTCCAACAGATACACTAAGTTCGGTAGAGCACACTTCGGATGTCACTGTAGCCTCCACAGTCTCTTCAATGTTAAGGACATCACCCTTTATTCAAACAGAAACCAAAACAGTAACTGAAACAAGTGATACTTCAAAAAAAGATGTAACTTCCACTTCATCACTATACAGTACTGAGCGACCAACATCAGTGTCAACTCAAAAACAGGAGACTGTTAACACAAGGCAGACTGAGAAGGCCTCAATAAAACAAGAGGCAAGTTCGAATTTACCAACAACAGATGAAGAAAGCTCAGGTGACCAAACCCAAGAGATGTTCACTCAGGACTCCTCTGTCACAGCTAAATCCCCTGTCTCCAGCACTGAGGCCCTAGCTGCAACATCTCCTGTTACATTGTCTGCTATAAAAAGCATTGAAGATAAAGAAATTAGTAGTGAAACTACAATGGCGGAGTCAATTCAATTGAGTGGATCAACTGTGACACCAGAAACGGCATCAGTCCTGATTACAACAGGTACAGAGATTTCTGGAGACAGCACAGATGACTTTACCGAAGGGTCAATCATAACAGCAACTACTGATTCTTCATTGTTGAGCACAGAGTCCCCATCAGTGACAGCATTGCAAGGAACTAAAGCTATTGATACTTCAAAGACAGCTGTCACTAAAGCTTCATCACTATTCAGTACTGAGACACCAACTTCAGAAACACAGGAGACTGTAACAAGTCAAACTGAAAAAATATCAGCTACACCAGAGACAAGTTCTACATCAACAGATGAAGGAAGCTCAGGAGACCAAACCCAAGACATGTTCACTAGTACCTTCTCTGTCACAGCTAAATCGTCTCTCTACAGCACTGAAGGTACTAGTGAACATGTCTTGGGTTTGGTCTCCTGAGCTTCCTTCATCTGTTGATGTAGAACTTGTCTCTGGTGTAGCTGATGTTTTACTTGTTAGACTTGTCGTAACAGTATCTTGAGTTTTAGCTGATCCCGATGTTGGTTTCTCAGTACTTTATAATGATGAAGCTCTGGTAGTGGCTGTTTTCAAAGTGTCACTTGTTCCAGTTTCCTGTGATGCTGTCACTGATGGTGACTTTGTACTCAACAATGAAGAGAAAGTAGTTGCTCTGATGGTTGACTCTTGGGTAAAATCATCAGTGATGTCTCCAGAACCCTCTGTTCCTGTGGGAATAAGCAATGATGATGTTTCAGGTTTAAGGGTTGATCCTATTGAGGTAGGAATTGAGTCCACCGTTGTAGTTTCACCACTTATCTCTCTATCCTCAATGCCTGAAACAGCAGATATTGTAACAGGAGATGTTACTGTTGGTACCTCAGTGCTGTATGGAGTTGATTTAGCTGTGACAGAG